TCCGTGATAACCTCCGTTCACCCCCCACCCTACGTCATCTCAGATCACTTCCACGATGTGCTTAATATGCCTAAAATATGACGCTAGCAGAAATTGCTTTTAATACACGATTTGTAACGTTGCGCCACATTGTAGCGGCTGGTGTGCAAGCAGAAAAGCGATTGTTCCATCAACCCAAGTGCATCTAAATGATGAAAACAAGATTCCAGTCTCTCCCATCAGCTGTCTGTGCTTGAGACCAGGTCTGGAGCTTGGTGCTGAGCCACTCGGGGGGGCTTGTGGGCACGCACTCTCCAGAGTACTGCACAGCCCAGCTCGGGGACTCCTGCCTGTCTTTACAATTGGAGGTCAGACCTGGGCTAAATTAGTAACTCCTGTTTCTGGGAGGCAGTGTGAGATGGGGAGCATCTCAACAGGCAGAGGGTGTTGTCGTTTTGCCTTCAAATTGGGTGTCTTTTTGTGAGCCAGGTTTTCTTGTTCAGATTTTTCACAAACAAGAACGAGAGCCCGGTGGTGTGGCATTTCAGCATTCTCTCTGGCCCGCAGGTTGGGCCCTGGCAGACTGGAGATGAGGGGGAAGGTGAAGGCTGGGGTAAGAGTTGGCAGAGATCTGTTGGCAAGTGTCGGTCCGTCTCAGGACGGGAATACCAGTCATTCACACTGGCTAAAGCTCTTCTGGAATCACTTTCAGTCGTGATCACTTGTTTGGATTATTATTGAAAGTAGTGCTCTCACTTGGGCATGTGCACAGACCTAGGGTTTGGGTGAAATTAGTGTGGGTGTGTAAAATTACAGGACATAATTTCACAGAGGTTTTAACAGCTTCGTCTTTCTTTAATAATACCCGATAACCTGATCAAATTGTGAACAAGCACTTCAAGACTTAAATAGGCCGCAAACTGATTTTTAGTTTCTAAAATAGCCAGTGTATTATCTTCTTTAAGAATGTATATCACGCCTGTGCATTAAATGACCAGGGCGGCATAATTCTGCATTTTCCTGTATAACGTCATCTTCCTTAACCAAGCTAATATCGACGTGCCGTAACAGCGAACACGTACTGAGTGCTAAAGCGCCATGCAGTGTTTTGAATAAATGAGTAATTTTTCTCTACGCACAACCGTAGGCCCAGTACAGTGAGAACTCTAGAGGGTGATCTTGAGGCCGGCGTCGCCTGCTGCTCTTCGGTCCGGGGTGCGACCTCTTCCTGCGCCCCGTGGGTCACCTTCCTCCTGCAGACGGTCGACGTGCTGTCTAGGTTAGCCGGCGTCTGTGAGCTGCGCCCTCCCCAGCGTCATGTCCAGGGGTCCAGCCCCGACGTGCGACCCTCTGGGGGTGCTGAGACCGCGGGGATGCACGATTCGGGGCAGTGGGCGGCATGTCCAGTGCAAGCTAGGCTTTCGCTCCCGCGAGATAACGAGACCGCCAGGCGGAATCTTCTGGCAGCCTTCACGTGAAAGAAATTGTGGAAATAACTTCGATCAATTAATAATGGATCAACACAAACCCGTCTTCTCCTCCTTTCCAGGGCAGAAGATATTTGAAGTCAGTCTTTGTGACACTCGGCGTATTCTGCGGTCTCCTCTCAGATTTCCAGTAAGATAGCCGAGGGCAAGAAAGCACTTTATAGAGCTATTGCATTCAGTTAAGAATATAGCAACACCGCCAATTCGTGCGGGGGGGTCGTACAAATCAGTCTGATTTTAGTTAGGCGTTTCACGACATCAGCCTTTTGAAAACTGGGAGAAAAAAAATTGGTTTGTGTGTATCCTTATCGTTGATAGTGCTGTAATTTCGAGTGTGGATGCGATTTGGTAGAAACCTCTCTTTACCTGGGTGGGGGGGGGCTCTGAAATGGTCACCTTGACCCCATGCGAAGGAGGTCGTGAGCTGCTCGTGCTCAGACAGTGCGACCCCGAGACGCCGCGAGCCCGCGGGTCCCTCGATCCCAATCTCTCGCGCCCCGGGAGGGCAGCTCCCCGGATCTGCGCGGTTCTAGAATCTGACGCGAACGGAGACGAATCGTGACTCCGGAACGTTGATTTTGTTCGGTGGTCAACCGGGCTCCAGTCGGCCGGCGGGCGGTTCCGATGACCCTGCGGTCTCGGCTCCCTGCCAATTCCCGTCACGACCCGCCGCGGCTGCTGTGGGGTGAAATCGACCGGCCAAACGACTGAAACAGCAAAAATAAACGTTATAATATTCCGTTCCCCGCATTTCCCTCTAGACAAGTGAAAACGCAAATCGTAAGAAAAAAAAAACCTTGAGAAGTGTAAGACTTTGGGCTGCATATTGTCTAGCATAAAATCAGTATTTTTTGTCGGTGGGATATTTTTGTTTTTTTCTGAACGCAAAATAATCATATAGGCTACTCATCTTGCCGGGTCTGTTTACGTTTCCTGTGAGCTAGCCTAGGCTTGGTTTTGGAGTGCCGATATAAGATATGCTTTTGGTTGAATCCGGATTGCTATTTTGTTTTTGTTTTTCATTTGTTGCTGTTTGCTCAGGAATGCTCAGTAACACCGTGACATAAAGAAAAAATAAAGCTGTTAAAAGTCCGCTTCTAACATCTGGCGCGTTAAACGCATATCTGCGGTGCGTTAATAGGGAACCTTTTCTTCAGTGTCGAAAGATCAGATAAAAAATAACCGGGCTCCCCAAGAAAATTGCTGACCCGCAAGCGTGAAACGGTTTGAAGACAACAGCGCGTCTTCAAATAGTTTATTAGCGAAGTTGAAGACAATTCACTGCACGCAAACATTTTCCTGGTAAAGAAGTCCAGTCAGACGCTGTTTGATTTGCTAATGAATGTAATGGAGCTTGAGGCCGGAATCGGCCGTTCTGTGATCGCTGTTTGTAGGAAAGAGTGTCATAAAAAAACGAATCAATTTAACTAAACTTCCTTCACGGTCCACCTTGTTGACTCTGATTTTCGTTTGTTCAATATTTGTTTATGAAGCCCATAGACTGAAAATATTTGGTTTACACCAGGTGTCTCACGTGGAAGTGCAGAAACGCGCCACTGGAGTGATTTGGGCGAGGCGAATAAACAGTGAGCCGGTACATCATCTGTCACGGTACTCAATCGGTGTTTGTTTGCACAACTTGAACGTCATGCATCTGTGAAATAGGATTATTATTATTGATATTGTTGTTGATGATGGAACATTTGAATTTAAGGGAATATTGTCATATAAATAAACGAAAATTATTTTCTCCCGCAGTAATGGTTTTCGTAGACTTGCTCATTTTAAATAGACGTTTTATTCAATTAAAAATACGAACGCAGCAATGTGTTTTTTTCAATGGGTAGACAAACCCGGTATTACCAATGCGAGTCGTTGTTTGTTCAGAGAATGTTTTGGCGTCTAGATTTAACCACTGGGATGTTTTTCTGTATTAATCTCACAATTGACTAAAATAAGAGAATGTGAAATCGTATCCAATTTCCTTATTGTTCCCCGCGTATCCTACGTTAATCGAATATGAAAGGTAAAATGCAAAAATTCAATTTGGTTATTGAGTCGTGCAGTGTGATATAATATGCTATATAATAACTATTTTTATACAATATATACGCGATGCAGCTGTTGCTTTATATTTTGTGTTTCTCAGGACGGAGTTCGTGCGTATGAGCAGCCTCTGTCTGAATCACGGTTTATCTGGGTATAAGGTTGTGTTTGTGCTCCGGGTGGCTGGATCTCTGTACACTTGATAGGTAATTTAATCAGCACTGAAGTGGACGATGGAAAACTCCTCGTATCTCTTGAAAGGTTTATCTTTCAACTAGAAAGCTGCAGCCCTTTGCGCTGCTGCTCATCGAGTTGTGCGCTACCAAATGGTTAGCTGCAGGTGTCATTAAAAATTTACCGTCTGAAACAAAGGTGTCCCTCCGCAGATCTTCTTTCACGGGTGTCTGTTACTCAGCTAGACAAAGGGCTGTGCAGATCTTACCTTGATGAATAATTAGACATGGAATCTGCACGATGCATTTTTAATAATAATAATAATAAAACTTGTTAATCATTTCGGAGACAAACAAAATCTGGGAATATTCTCGGCATGATAATATTCCCCTTAAAAAAAACAGAAGTGTACCAATAAAAAAGGGGACGGATGCACTTTTGCCGTGTCGAATCAACGAGCAATAATGCGGCGTTTTGTTTTTAGCACTGTAATATTTTCTTAAAACGATGGCGCTGCCTTCCTAATTATTTTCTACAGCAGGATCGTGCGGTACACCCCAACAGCACGCGGCGGGAAATGACGGGAAAATTAAAAAGTCTCCAGGTGCCCCTTGCTGTAATGCGACGTCAGCAGAAGCGTCTCAAAAGACATCAAGAAAATATGGTGGTAAAATTACGTTTACTAGTTTATCCTCACATTCCTTATTTTTTTAAAGAAAAACACATGCTTGTGCAATCGAATATAACTTGAATAGAATATCTATTCGTGATAGATTACCAAGGAAAAAAAAATATTCTCTCAATCCACTTTTCTAAGACGTTAATTTGAAAAGGGAATTGTGCTTTGTTTTGAGTTCTGCTTTAGGGACGGTGTCGTAATCTCTAATTCTCTTTTTGGCTTCGAACGAAGGACATTTTGATTCAAGATTTAAATGATCATGAATGTAAACAAATCCGAATTGAAAATAAACGAAGACAACTTGTACCTCCTTCGTACGGCTTCCATTTGTTTGGTGTAGAAATGGCACGAAGTTAACTTGCAACATTTTTTCAAATATATGCATTGTATTTTTGAAGTAGACCCACGTTGTCAATGTGTCTAGTTTTATGGTCTCGAGTGTAAAGGCTCTAATATGGCGATAAGCCCGTCGATGGTGTTTAACTGGTTAACACGATCGATAGAGCACTTGACTCCACACCTGAACCAGGCGCAGTCTGGAGACGAAGCAGGGTCCGATCTCGGCTGTGGCCGCTTAATCAGTGAGGTTGTCAGATCGCAGTCCCCCTCTTATCCGTTTATCCGATCACAAAGATGCATCATTAGTTTGTCTTAATTTTTATTTTAAAGAATATTTAATCAATAAATAAAGCTTAGGAAATATAGCATCATACAACAAATAGTATCTGATATATATATATAAAACAGCTTACGACAATATCGTTTTAGAAACTAACTCATCATCACTCAAGATTGAACTCCCTAACAGTTATTTGCATATATATATAGTTATCACCGAGCTTCCTCGGCGAGGTTTCTGTTAGCTTCACAACTCATATCTGGGTTCCGATAACAAAAATAATAAAAATGTGCAAAAACTTTTTAAATTGGTCTTCATGAATTCCCAAAAAATACTGGTTATGATTGTATCGTCTGACCAAGAACACAGCAGATAAAACCGTTGACAACCTCATGGCCAACTGTAATCAAATATTTTAACCCAAAATATAAACAACCCACTTGTTTGTTAAATCAATTCGTCTTATTGTAGTGCCTGTTTTGCCAGCACCTCCTGCGTCTCCTTTGAAAAAGCGGTGATTTCGTGTTCACCGGCGTCCTGGATTGTGGAGGGTGTACACACACACAGCGGGTTGTATTTCCGATGCCTCTCGTATTATTTACGCCACAACATTTCGGCTGCACGGAAGCTCTCCGGTGGGAGACCACCGGGCCGTCGAGGGGACGCTGCGCGAAAACTTCTCCGACGCGCCCGCAGTCCGTGGGTCTCGCACCACAGCCCACGCCTGCAGGTCCTCCCTCCTCTCGTCGCTCAGGTAAGCCGTCGGAACCGGCCGGGGGTGCTCATCTTCGCCCCCGTCTCCCCGCTCCGAGTCCGTGCAGCCCTGGCTAGTGTTTCGAGTCCTGTCTTGTCGCCAGTTCCGTGAGGAAAATCGTCCCCGCACCCACCCCCTCCCTCCCCCCGGCTGTATAATGATTTATTTCATTATTTCAGTCCGTGCTGCGTTTCTTTGTGTCTTCTCAAGTCCACCTTGCGCTGGAAGCCCTTCCCGCACAGGTCGCAGCCGAAGGGCTTGAAGCCGGTGTGCTTGCGGCTGTGCGTGATCAGGTTGGAGCTCTGGCTGAAGGCCTTGCCGCATACCTGGCACTTGTGCGGCTTCTCTCCTGTGCGACACACAACAAAAAAAACAAGATTCGCCATTAAAACCTGCCCGTTTGTAATCGGTACGAGCTCCTCGTGTACATCATTGAAACCCGCGGTTAATGAAAACAACTCTCATCGACACACAAACCCGTGACACTGTCTCGCCTCGTCACACGAGTCGAGCGGAGGGACTCATTAAGAAGATTAAGCTTTATTTCATTAGATTGACCTGTCGGCATTCCCGGAACCGGGTGTCGTTAATGAACTGGGCCCACGTTCTTCACCAAGTGACCTTTCTGTTTCGCAGCGTGCCCTGAGTCAGTTGCCTCCTCTGCTCTATCAGTCTGGGCGAAGGCGGCTCAGCAGGGCGTGTTCTGCAGCACAGTTTCCTGTGTCTCTGTCAGCACCACAGCGCTAATGGGACACGAGCTTTTCTTTCGCGTGGAGTGATGCTCGGTCGCAGCACAGCACAGACCCAGAGCAAATATTTAGAGAGGCTGGAATCGCCTCTGTCCTTTATTCTGACACGGTGTTGCGGGAGAGAGAGCTGTGTGCATTTGAGAACTGGGTGCTGCCTTGTGTCGTTTTCACCTGTCAGGTGGACTTCAGTGGCCCGAAAAAAATCAAGGCCGAGTTCATATAATACCCTCTCATCATCCTACCCGGAAAGCCTTCCTCAATAATCACAAACCGAATCAAAATGCGGGCGACAGTGATTGGATTGCTACAGGTTCCGGTTATTAAACTGTTGTAGTTGGTGGTGACAGTGTTAGATAACCCTTCGTTGCGACAGGTATATAGTAAGATGGTTTTAATATTGCAAGACTGTATAGACATTTACATTTATCCCAATAACATCCGAGATACAGGAATCATTATTAACACAGATGTATCATGCAGGCTGTGATATCAGCAAGTCCGTTGATTTAGTTTGTTTTTAATTGTTGCACAACCATTTCAGTCATTTCTCCTGATATTAATCATTTAGATTCGTTCCTTTTTACGATCTTCGTGAGCTGAATTCATATCAACGAATAAACATTTTGAACACAGTCTAAAAATAAAGAGAGTCCAGTGATCTGTGCTCGGTGTAATAGTAATGTAGTTAAGTGCTTTCACATACGCACTGCTTGAGCTCTCAGTGGGCAGCTTGTGTCTAAGTGACCGGGTGTCTCAAGTAAACGCCCGCCTCACCTTACCTGTGTGAATGAAGGTGTGTTTTTTCATGTCCGATTTCTGGTGAAACCTCTTGCCGCAGAACTGACAGGGGTAAGGACGGGTATCGGAATGGATCAGCAGGTGTGTGGAGAGAGTCGACGACCTTTTAAAGCTTTTGCCGCATATTTTGCAATCAAAACTCCTTTCCTGAAAAAAAGGGGGAAATGTGAAGAGGTTGGAAGCAAATATCAATATGTGCACACGTTGTCGCGGCTCATCAAGTACAATACAGAACAGGTAATTTACCTAAATGTACATTGCATTAATAAGGACCAAGTAAAGCTTTATTCCGTGCGGAAAAGAGAAGGAAACACAACGTTTCGGCTGTGGAGCCTTCTTCGGGTGTGAACTAGTGCATTAATAGCACTACTTAACCGTCCATCGCCCCAAACCGTCTCTTACAAGAAGCCGTTACTTCATCCCTGTCATTGTTTATTTTATCAACACTAGAAAGATATCGTCTAAAACCCAGGTGCATGTTGTATGAACCTGTAAAGCAGATGCTAACAATAAAACCACTCTTGTCCACTTGTACCATATTTTACACCAAAATCGCTGTAGTGCAGGTCTTTGTTTCCTGGCTGTCTCTGCAGTTTGTACACGATAAATGTCCCATCGCCCCAGTGAATCAAAACACGGGTGCGTTATTTCATTGTTTTTAAAGCCATCTAACCTTATGACGTTTAACCCGACCCGTATGAGCGCTTTTTGTTCTTGTTGTTCTTGTTGTTGTTGTTGTTGTGAGCAGAGGCTCTGTCACCTGCCTAGCGCACGTCAGAAACGCGAACACGCGTGTCGCGGGCGGGACTGACCTGGGAGTGAACGGCCTTGTGCTGCTCCAGGCTGACCGCGTGGCCGAACGTCTTGCCGCAGATCTCGCAGGCGAAGGGCCTCGTGCCGCTGTGGGACCTGCGGACGTGCACCTCGAGCCCGTGGGGCGTGGAGAACACCTGCGGAGGATACGGGCGGGAGTGATTTATTTTTTCCAGGCGGGGAAGAGTCCTTAATGGTCGTGTCCTTAATGGGCGCCCAAGCGCAGTGGTGCACGCGCGGTCTTTTTTTTAAAAAGAATTAATTTCTTTATGTCTTTTAAACATTCTTGGCTTTTGAAAGCTGCCGGTTTCTTGCAGAAGGCCCTGCAGGATTGTTCATTCAGGCGCCTTTGCGATACAGTAGCTGACCAAACGAATACTGGCCCCTTAATAATCAGAATATTTCTGCTCAGGTACAGTGTACGCGCGTCACGTCACAAAGAGTGAGCGAAGCCACACCCTAATAAAAATGAATGAAGACAAACAAGCCGATCGGTTTATATAACAAGCGAATAACCCGAGAGCCCGTGTAGTGCATGCATTCGTCGTGTTTTTTCTTAGTTCATTGTGGTAGCCTATAAGGTTCAGTAGGCCAGAAGGCAGGAAGCTGTGTGTCCGAAGCGTGCCACACCTGCGGGAGACACGCACCTTGCTGCACTTGACGCACTTGTAGGAGCCGCCGCTCAGCAGCAGCCGGGTGAAGGGCAGCTCCGACTCCGCCTTGATGTCCGGGGCCTTGCTGTGCCGGCTGGGGTCTGGGAACACGCCGGAAGACGAGGTCCGCTCGTACAGACCCGGGGCGGTCCCGTAGTCGCCGTACAGCCCGGCAGAGCCGCGGTCGGGAAAGAGAGAGGTGTCGCTGCCCCGCTCTGCATAGAGCCCCAGAGAGGGGCTCCGCTCCAGGGACACCGGGTGGTGGTGGTACGTCTGCTGCACCAGGTGCCTGAGCTCGGAGCCCGAGTAGCTGCTCCACGCGTAGGGCCTGAAGGAGATGGAGAACGGGCTGGTCTCGTCCACTGAAGGGGTGAGCGACGTCTCCGAGTCTGCCGGAACAAGACACGGGCACAGGGCGTGAGCGCCTCCTCATCACCCCGCATGAATGACGGTAACCACGGGGGCCACGCCGTGACAGTTCATTCAGAAATCAAGTATTTCGTTACCCTCTTGAAATCTTCCCCTTGTGATCTTTTGAACCATTTTCGGCAGATCACTAGGCTACTAGCAGCCTACTACTGACGTCAAAGCATAGTCGCATTGGGTGCCTTTATCTGGATAGGATAAGAATTCGTACAGTTCTAAAACCAAAAGGCAAAGGGGTTTTCATTCACTTTAAATTGAATTTAGTTTATTTTTAATCATTTAGAGTTATTTTAAATTTAGTTTAGATTAGGGCTTCTGTGATACAGCCTAATGTACATCCACGCAAAAGAACAACAACAATAACCCCGGATCGGTAAACCCAGTTAAAGTCACCTCGTTTTTTTTTGTTTAAAGAATTTGGTTCAAGACGTTTGGAAAATTAACCAACAAAAACAAACTGGAGAAAAAAAAACAAATACTAACAAAACAAAACAAATAAACACACACACAAAAAAAACAGCCAGACCATGAACAAAAAACACCAACTTGCTTATGCCTTTTCACAATTTTCTTGCCCAGATAAGAATTGTCTAAATCTGTGAAGGACTCGCAGAATGAGTGGAAGTGTAAACACTGTAAGCTCAGCGACCCCAGCTCCCCAGCGCCTGTCCTACAGAATACAGCCCTCTGCGCTGTGCTGGAGATCTCCTCACGGAGCCGGCTCTGGGACCAGGGCGCAGGGACAGATTTTCATTCTTTGTGAAAATTTTTGATCCCCTCCCTCCGCAACCATTCCGATCATCGGGGCCGCGTGTTTATCTCGACCCCCCGAGTACAGACTCCGGATTCCGAGTGACGAGACGGAATGATCTTCCCTGGGGAAGTCCTCCCACAAGCACCACAGCGGCGGACGCGCTACAGCACAGGCCCGCCGGCCAAATTCATTTCTCAATCCGGTGAACGTGAAATCAGATCATCTGCAGGGCCCGGTCTACTTTTCCTAATTCCTAAACAGGCCAGTTAACCCCTGTGACCTGATACAATCTTGAAAACACGGCAATTTAGCGAATACGCAAGGGAACCGCGCACGCTTGGCATTACGCGGGTAGTGACCGGGAGACTCACACTTTGCTGAAAGCAGGGTGACCTCAGCTCCGTTAATACCAGCCCCCCCCACTGACTGTCCTGCTTGTCCCTCAGCTGTGTACGCACCTGGAGAGGCGGACGGGGACGGCGGTCTCCAAAAGTCGTCGTAGTCGGAGGACCGGCCGCAGACGCTGCCCTCGCAGCTCGGTGGAGACTTGGAGGAGAGGTCGGCCGTGTCGACCAGGTGAGCTTCCGGGGAGAACCGGCCTCTGGCCTCAGACCCGAGGGCGTCCGAGCAGCACCCAGTCTCTTCTGGTATCTTCGCCTCTGCGCAGGAAAAAAAAAAGAATAGATTCGCAAGACGGTGTGAAATAAATGCCGGATACTGAAAGTACTCTGTACTGTATGTTTTTAAGGTGTTGGCATATGAAACTCGTGTCGCCAGATCCCTTGCAGAAACAGCAGATTAACGGCGTTTAATCGTTCATCAAAATGCTCAAGACTGTTTATCGAACATTTATTTTTTTTAAGTTCAGTCCTAGTAAATGTATAAGGAGTAATTACTATTCAATTGCAATCGTCTACGGTTTTTAAATTTGTTCAATGTCAGTTTTGTTTCCCGCAAATTATATCTTTGCAATCTCTTAAAAACAATTCATATAATCATATACTAGTAAGTTATTTTTATTCTTAGGCTTGGGCGTCTTTAAATAGCGTATATTTTTGAGTGGGCACTTTAATAAATGTATTTGCTACATAACGGCCAACGCAGTAAAACCAAGATAAAATTTCAACACAATATAAAATTTAAATACTTAGTAGTGATGTACATAATTAATTTATTTTTCTGGTGAGTTTTTTTTTACAGCAAATTAGGTCCTCTTAAATTGAATGGATTTTATTTTTTTTAATCGCATAACAGATAATTCTCATAAACACATTGCTGTGACGTATATTTAGCCCTTACCGTAACTATTTCCAGTCATGTATACATAAGTATGCGTGAACACACAGTATTGATCATTCTAAATAAACCCGAGATTTTTAAAGCGCATGTATTGTCATTTTAAACCTACATGATGGGTCGGGCTTTTATTAACGCAGTTGGGAGTGTACTGTGATGAATATTTGGAGCATAAGATATGTGTGGATATCATGTTTTTATAGTGTTTTTCCATCAGCCTGCACATTTACAGGGTTTGATGTACAGATGTTTTCGTTCTCGTATTGAACTACAGTTCGTCATAATTTCTAAAGGAACGTGGAGCACATCACGTCACGCATTTCATAAAAGAGTCAAAACCATATCAGAGCGTTGTCAGAAAAATCATACGTCCTTCTAGAAATCTTTTTAGCACAGTAAACGTCACGTACCTGCGCATATGTGGGCCAGGATGCTGTCCAGCTTGCTGTAATCATCCTCCACCGACCGCGGCTGGTGGTAGCTGTGAGCTTTCTTGCTCTTCACCAGAAATGACCTGGGCATCTCGGAGCCTCTGAAATCACTCTCGATCCCTCAGCCCGGACAGCACTCTCCTCCGGAGCAGGCAGACCCGTGTTTATCTCTGTCAAGATTTGGAGATCATGGGTTGACGACTGCTCCAATATAAGGGATTTTTTGGCAGGGGCTGAAGCATGCGCAGTGCCCCATCGTCGTTTACCAGGTGTTGCGCAGACAGGTGCCTAAAGAACCCATTATCCCACAGCCCTCGGTCACTGTGATTGGCCCCTCACAGAACAAACAGCAGCCAGCCAGCCAGGCAGCCCAGCCCCCCCGGGTCCGGCCGTATTTCCAGGGGGGGGGGACTGAAGCCGATGGCAATCAGGATAAGTAGCACACAGTACTTGATCACCCTGTTACCCAATCCCCCGCCGCCAGCGAGGAGAGGAAACTCAGAGCAGGTACCGCAGTGCCCGCACGAGCTGCTGCTGTGGGTGGCACGTGGTTAACTGACGTGCCTTTCGGTGTAATTGTGTAATTAGTCTCCAAAAACGGCGCTTCTGCACCCTGGACTTTGTTTTGTTTTGTTGTTAGCCTGAACAAAATGCCTGTTTCTCGCCTTCTCTCCTCTTCTTGGAGAAACGGAGCGCGTTCTTGTTTTGTTTTTTTGTTTTTTTTGTTTTTGGAAATGTTTTTCGAATTTGAAGATGGCGTGTTCTGCGCTGTAATATCGTCACGCTGTTGTTTTATAAACAAAGTCGTGGTAATAAGAGTTTTAAAAATATATATATATAATCTGCAACTGTAAACATTCCGTAGTATGAAAATGTATACAAGTAATATCAAAATGGTATCTATATTTTAAAATGGGACTCATGTATGATCATCATAATATTGCAGAAGAAACGGTTCGGTTAACTTGGGCAGTGACAGACTGGATTTATAAAGCCAGCGTGATTCCCTGTTCTTGTTCGACTTTTCTTATTGTCTGAAAGGATGAGATCCCCCATACTTTCCAAGAGGCCCGGCCGGGCAGGGCTCGGGTTTCAGCTCCGGGGGTGAAGGGAGCCGTCTCGCTCCCCGTTCACGCAGACGGCCGGCTGATAACATCCTCTCTAATCATCCGACACAACAGCCCGCCGGTGAGAGCCGGTCCGGGGTCCTCAGACCTCCGATCGCGCATGAAAGCACCTGGAGAACAGCCACGAGTCCGCCCGTCCACCCACTACCATCTACCATCAACCTAAACAAAAAGGACTTCGTGTCCAGGGGTGGGGCATTGAAAACACACAGAGAGTTCGTTCAGCGCTTTGTCGATTATGATTATAAACGAAAACACGACACGCGAAAATCTCACTAGATCGATTTAAGTCCCTAACAAATATTTTGGAGAAAACAAAACAAAAAAGCAATTCAGCAGTAAATAATTCGTCTTCCTAAGGCCTCTGCGCACCTCAACAGGAGTAAATGCTTAAAAAGTATAATTCGGGAGCAGAATATACCGTTCTCTGTCAAAATAGCAAAGGTTCGATTTCCAAAACCCTTGCTCAGTCTCGCCCTGATTTCAGCTCTAACGAAATATTTGAACACATTTCATAAAAACAATATCGCAAAAAAAACCTTCTCTTTCTTTTTGTAATCGAGAAAAAAATAGGGGTGAGTCGACTTTGCTTTTTTTGCCCTCGGCAAAAAGATACGTCAGATAGGAGTAAAAAAAAAAAAATCACCTGTCCTAAAGCTGACATGGGCCCCAAAATCCGGTGCTGAGCTTACAAATTGGCAGGGCACATGAGGCAGAAATGTGCTCAGCAGCCCACGGGATCTGTATGGGCGCAGGAACGGAGCTCCTCGGCGACTCGACGTCTTCTGTTGGGAAATTGGACCAGTTGTTCTATAAATAAACCAGAGGAGCTCGTCCTTCCTTTTGTTTGGAACAGGTTGAGCGAAAGAATAAAGACACGAGTCTGGATTTAGCTTTTAGATGTGAAATGACCAGTTGTCCAGTGGAACATGTGCAGACGTGTCTTAGATTGGAGGCAATGCAGAAGTCACGCAAAACCAGGTGAATGTAGTTACATTCCAGTCAGTTCCCGAAAGATTAACATTTCAATATCAAATTTCAACAATAAAGCTGGACCCTTTGTGCAGAGCTTTTCAGAATTTATCACATGCTTTCGTATTTTAGGGTTTTTATGCAGACGAGAATCAATGACTCCTTTAATGCCCGGCTTGCATGTTTGTGGTGATTTTATCAGAATAACGGTTCTGTGCGGTTTTAAACGCTCCGCTCATCTGCGCTGGAGATTCCGAGATGTCGGACTGACAGAGTCACAAGCCTTGACACGGCAGTCTTCCTTTCCACCTGCCTGAACAACACGGTGCTTGTTCTGTGGCCTTGAGAGAAAGCGTCTGCGTTAACTATCGGCGGCCCATGAAAAAAAATCAAAGCACACTCGCCCCTCACAGTGTCTTGTGCCCCCTGTCGATAGCATCGAGACATTGCCTGGTGACGTACAGGCCTGTAGTTAAATTAAAAACAATTAGTGAGCGGAAAGGAATGGAGCAGGTTGCAAAACGCCATTCTATATATATATTAAAATATATGATTTGAAGTATCCTAGTATGCAATGACTCAGCGTAAGCATACACTGTGCGCTTTATTTCATCTAAATGGAAGCGGTTTTGTTTTTCACATAATTTACCAGATTTTGAACATACTGGCAGTGTGTTACCCCCCAAAAAAAAATCTGTCCAGCGAACAAAGTTCGATGCAATCTTTGCTGCGGCGTTTCACGCTAACCCTCGGTGTCCAAGGGCGTTTCCAGCCCGCTCAGACCTGATTCCATGCAGTAAATGTGGGAAACGACCTGCGGCCACCACCTGCAAGTCCGAATTCCTCAGATAAACAGGTGGAACAGACGCCCGAGACTCACAGCCTGCAATAACACGCGTTTGTTCGCGAATAGGGACAACGAAGGAGAAATGACTCCTAAAATAATACAGCTGGATATTAATGTTCATTTACGGATTTTTAAGGGAACTGGAATTTCCACAGCAGCCCTCCTATTGTCGGCTTGGGCAACCCGACGCCTGAACAGATTAGAAGAGAGCTGTTTCAATAAAACGTTTTAGGATTACACAAAGCGATTGCAAAAGACATCAGTCCGCAAGGGCTCCGGGATATGTCTGGCTTAACGAATTGACGTTGTGGGGAAAAAATAATAGACGTTGCCTTCAGTTATTTATTTTTACATTTCCACAAAACGGATGTTTCACGCGATTTTGCATTTGCGATGCAAGATTGATTTAGATGTGGAGTAAAGAGTATTTGTGTTTTAATGCGGGGTTTGGAGGTAGTTTCTTTCTTCCAGAATGTATTCGTTGGGGACGTGCCTCTTGTATATTCATTGAAAGCACAGCACTTTGGGGTGGGTCGGATTCTACACAACACAATCACAACTCGAATCACAGCTGCGTTCTGCCGCAGTTATCGTTAATAACGTCGCACTAACAGAGGACCACAAATCCAGTGAATAATATCACCAAAGACGGACTATTAAGTCTCACGTTGAAATATTATACAGCATATAATTATGATTATCTGCAAATAACATTGTTTTTGAAACAGGCAATAGGGGGCACGTACATATGTATATTTAAAATTATTAACCCGACAAACAGAAACAAAACGCACTTCTTGTCTATTCTGATGATAAACCTAACATTCTCCACGAGCACTTTTGAGAGTTTCCTGCTATGACACCAGCTCCGGTATTTAATTGCTCTACCCCACTGACGCTGGAATACAGTGCCAGAGAGTTAGTGCTTGCGTCTGTTGCGTTGCGTAAAAAAACATTCAGCCACCCCGTTATTTCAATGTATGTACGTATGGAGCACAGCGCTTGAAACGATAACGAATAAAAGAATAAAAACGCTATTCCCCTTGTGTGCTGTGTAGGTTACCCGTGACAGTCAAGTCTTACCCGAAGCAGAAACGCACCCGAGCCATTTCTGCAGACGCACGCTGAACCGAGAAGAGAGCCGAGTCTTACTGACAGTGGGAACACGGTACACGGCACGGCGGAGATCATAAATAGGAGAACAGAAAACGCCATACCTTACCAGCTCAGACCGTGCTCTCCGGGGGAGCTGAGGCGTGTTGTGGACAGGAATCCTCGCTGTGCTTTGCGGCTTCGCTATTGAGAGAACTCCCTTGAGTGTCCCATCTCAAATTTGCAGTTTTAACTCCAATAGAGTTCGGCCCCCAAAACCACAAGACAACTTCCTGAACGTTAGAAACTATTTCTGCAACACGTTTCATAAGCAAACATATGTGGAAGGGGTGATACAGATCCCCAAGGTAACAGTTCTGCTCTGACCTCGGTTCGTGACGCTCAAACGGGGTCTGCTCGCCGTAACGCCTCAAGAATGATCACTGTAAAGCTAAAATGATTTTGGATTTAACTTCCGCTATGAAAGAAAGAGAAAGGCGAGCACCTGCAGATCCGTAGCACAGATTTAAAAGCAAATGCTCAAATGCGTTTCTTGCGAAATACAATTCAGATCAGTTAGGTGTAAAAAAAAAAACACAGGTCCGTGAGCAACTCAATTTGCGAAGCTTTTCAAATAAAGGAAAACCTGTTTGTGACCGTAGAGCACTGCTCAGAGCTCAGATGAAAAGCGCCTGTGAATGCGTGCTGGCTATGAAGACCTTTTTAAAATGCTTGTTACAGAATCTTATACAGTATATTGTAACCTTGGAAGTATTTTAATATTTGATTTGGATTCTGGATTGCGCAAATGTTTATTCAAGCGGTTATTCGACCAGTTAACCGTTTCTTACGATAACACTGGTTAAGTGTATCTGAGCCGAAAGGAAGCGCAGATGGTTGTATGTTCAAGTTGGAAATAACGATCTAAGCAACGACTTCGCCTAAAAGCTGAATTATTCTACACGCCACAGTTAGGACAGCATGCTGTACTGAGAACAATACCGAATGTATATTGCTTTTAAAAAAAAACTCCTAATCACACCCTTAATCTTTTTTTTTTAATCTTTAAACGCCGATACCCTGGCTAGTCTCTAGTAGCAAATTGCTATCTTAAAACCTGTTTGTAAAAAAATTAGGTTTGCAAATAGCCGTTAGTTACAGTAGACCGGAAGAATCTGTCAGACTACACAGCCTATACTCCCACTAACATCCCCGCGCATAACCTAAATCAGCTTTCTCTCATTTCCTTTGCTGTGTAGGTCATTTTTATATTTGGATGCCCTGGGCGGAGTAAATGCACTTGTAATATTGCTGAAATTAAACTACCAGTACTTCAGTTATTCTTAACAATAAATCTACCCACGCGAACTCTCGGGAAAAAAATAGTACCCTGTCAGATTCTTACCTAATCCCCAAGTCTATCTGTTTTTAAGATCCGGTACAAAGTAGAAATCTTTCTGTTTCATTGTCGTTTTGTTTTTACATGTTGGGTACAGGGAGAGGAGACACAAAAGTATTTTCGTAAAGAACAGGAAACTACTGCTGCCTCTTGACTCTTGACTCCGGTTCGATCACATGTCAACGGGTTTAAGCAGAGCAGATGTTGGCCGTGCGGGGATCCGACGCGTTTCGTTTGCCAAATTCTGCGTTTAACACCGCCGAACCGCTGCACTCGCACCTACAGGATCGGTGACCTCAGAGTTCACGGTCTACAGGTGTAACTAGGGACCGAATCTTTCATTATTTCGATTCCTTTCCGAGTTTCCGCTTCGGAGCACCCTTGCAGCTAACCCTGCCCCGATCGCTGGTTCATCTAAGCACCTTTAGGAGATGAAGAAAATAAGAAGTAATCCGTCATTTCAAAACGCACAATTCTCCGTCGAAAAAATCGTTTCCCAGATGACAAACAACAGAACATCAACACGAGTTAAATTTCCTCTTTAAAGGAAAGCAGAACCTGACATCTCATTACAAACCTATAGCTTTTATAATTCAGCACGGGGAAAATGTAGATTTGAGACACAGAACGTTTTTCACGGTTTGACTTGGCGTCGGTAACCAAATCACGGCCCCGGACGGGTTGGGCTTCGTGCCACAGGACGCGCAGTGAGGATGGCAGAAGGCAGAGCCCCTTTGCCGGTTCTCTCTTCCTCCGCACCGACAATGAACCCGGCTCGACAGGACGTCGAGGACAGGGCCGCTAGAGGCGGCGCGACCTCCCCGGTTTGAGCTGCAGGGCCAGCGGGTTCCAGGTCTCGCCCGGGCGGCTGGCGGGGCAGCGCTGGGCGATGGCCGAGAAACCAACCCCGACACCTGATGTCTTTTCTCTCACTTCACCTCGGACTTGACCAGCTCCGGAATTTGAGTTTAAACTTTACAGTCCTTGTGTGTGAATCACAGCCGTTTTCCCAGTTAGTCTACAGTAGCTGGGAGGAGTATTTATGCGTCGGCAATATTATTAAATGCCATTCATTAAGGTTACGGTTTTTTCCCTACATAAGGCCGGTGCAGGGGAAAGGTGGCGTTAAGTTTACACGATATAATCCGCCTGTAAGCCGACGGACTGGTCAGCCGCAGTGGCGGTAGCCCCTTGAGCACAGCAGACCGCAGGCTGGGGCTCTGGGCCTCGCAGGCACACGGCCAAGGGCCAGGCCTGAGCTTGAGTCGACCTGGAGGGCTGTCTGTGTGCAGGCTCGGAGCGCCGACAGCCCCGGGTTCGAGGACCTCGGTGCTCCGCTGGCTCCCCGGGCCCGGCTGCTGCCTCGGGCTTGCCCTGGGTGTTGAAACAGACAGAATGGGCTAAATGAAGGATATCAACAGTCTTGCCTTTTTAGTCCAAGTGCCTCGTTTAAAACTAGTCACTCCAACGGATTTCCTCGTTTTGGGATTTCTGTGAAGCTCAGGAGGAGGCAGAGAAACCGAATTTCGTTTTTCACTGTCGAGGGCGCTCCGGCGAGACACGTTTTTACCATCCTGCACGGTTCATCAGTTTCGCTTTTTATCCGCACCGCTGCCACTACCGACCCAGCTAACGCGCCGCAGCCGCTGTACGTGTTGCCAGTGCTGTAGTAAAAACGAGCTGCCGGCAGGTGTTGACATCTCTGCCCGTTACGGGAGGCGGCTCGTTATTTTTCCCAAGAAAATCGTTAAGAAGCGAAAAGCTCCGCCAATGCGGAATTTTCAAGAACGAGAAGTGCGGCCGCCACGATATTTTTTTTCTTTCCAAAACTGATTAAAAAATGCTCATGCTGTAATCGTTGGAGGTATTTATAAAGGACTCCAGTTTAGGGAGCCGCACGGGCCAGGCGATTAAACCAGGTTATATACGGGAAGTGCAATTTTAGAACTCGTGGAAATTAAATGCGCACAATTACTGCTATAGTTGCTGTTCAGGACCAAATTTAGTAACAAGCGCAAACGCGAAGGAATGCGAACGCGGCGGATCGACACAGCTCGGAGAGGTGTTCAGGGCAAACCGGGGTCCGGCGCTCTCGCTTTGCTCCAGCTGTTGTCGAAAAGGACGTCGCTTTTTGAATCAAACACAACAACAGGCCACAAGCATCAGTGCTTAAAGAAGCCACAAATAAACTCATTGCGTCATTATGTGCCACTTAAAGACGGTTCCAAATTCACCGTGTCGTATCCTCCAAAAATCAAACAGTGGAAATTTCCAATCACCTTTTCTTATTTTTATGTAAGGATAGGGCGACCATATTTCGGTTTTCAAAAAAGAGGGCGTGGGGATAATCGACACTCGGCACATTCCTCCAAAGTAATGCATTTTTATTACTTTTTCTAATACAAAAAAATAATTTAAAACTCTCTAGTTATTAAACGTCTTAGTAAACTTTTAAACAGTTGCAGGGTTGTCGTTTCTCTTCCATAATGGCAAACAAGGAGAAACAAAAATATAGCCTTCTTTTTTTCATTTTAACACAACAAAAGTCTTAACATCAGAAGAAAAAATGAAGACATAACTTAGGAGACGTCCTCACTGGTTGCAAAAATGATCAATTTTAACGAAACATTTTGAAATATAACGAAACAAGTTAAACATTGTTATTTCTCACGGCCATAAAAACAGCCAAACACACACACACAAATCCTTTTCAAGATACACTGCGTGTAAGTTCAAAACATCTACCGGTAAGGCGTGGAACGAACAAAAAATGTAGGCCTGTGTTTGTTTACACAGTCTGAGTAATTAACGAGCAAAACAAAATCCCGGACAGTTTTTTTAAATTTGATCAATCCCGGTCGGACCGATATTTTAGGTCTCCGAAAGAGGACATGTGCAGGACAAAGAGGACGTCTGGTCACCCTATCTAACGATGAAGTTCTTCAAGTGATGCACACAGTTCAGAATGAGCCCCGACGCAGAAACGTAGGCTGGTAGCTGTTGTGGTAACCGAACAGCTGGTTGCTAACCAAAATAAATTCTAATCGGAGGGATCTGACCGGAAATCCCAACTGACAGCATGACCTCGTATTCAAAGCAGCAGTTTTCACAGGGTTTCACCAGTACTGCACAGCAGTGCAGAGCGGCGCTAAGCGTTCACAGGAAAAAACCCCGTCTCTGAGCTGCACTGAAGACGGCAGCAATAACAATGATGCAAACAAAATACTCCCCACTGCGTTGCAAAGACCGAATTCAGCCGGAGGAAAGCAGCAAAAAAATCAAACGGGGTTTATTAAATCATGAAAATTTTATTTCGAACATATTTTATATACATACATATCATGTACATTTCAAGTTAAGAGCTCAATAGTGTTTTTTTTTTCAGTAAAAGGATGTTAGACATCGATGGCAGACTTTGATACTTTTAGCTAGTGTTAACTGACAGGCATGACCTCCACAGGGGTGGCAGGACCTCGTCCTGCTGGTGCCGATGGTCTGGTGCTGCACTGCGGGCGGACACAGTGCCCTGCAGTACCGACCCCTACAGGAAGGGGGCGGCCACGCCAGTCCTCTCGCCACAACCGCATCGCTACGCATCACCTCACCGTGCTAAAAAAAAAATGGAAAACCAACCACCAGCCGCGAAAGAAACCTGGTTCATTCCGATCGAGCGAGGAGTCAAAGGAGATCACATGGAACCGGTTTGAATCTCTTGCATTCTGAACGATCTCTCTGACCGCAGATCGGAAAGGTTTAAAAACACACTTTTGCTCCGGCGTCGTCTTTGCAACCCAGTATGATGAAGGTAACTGACCGGGCTTATTATTACTTTGTCAAAATAGTTCTGGAGCGCCGGAAAAAGAGCGAGTTTATTCGCAACTAACAAAAAAAAAAGGGCAGAGCGGAGTTCGCACTGAAGCGGAGCTGTTTGAAAGCCATCCTGGGGGAGAGCCTGTCAGAAGCGCACGCTTATCCCAGCAGGACTAACACAGGGTGAGGCGGAGTGAGGCTTGCGATCGTACAACACTGCACATCACCTGCTGTCCGGGAAAGCCTGTCAGCGATCACAGCTACAGCGAAGAGACCCAGACGCAGACTTTCCAGGAGCAAAAAAAAACAAAAACAAAAAACCTTTTTAAAAGCAATTATGTATGGACAACACCCACTTTAAAGAGTTAGAAATGTGGTTAATCAGTAAATGTACTGTTTCGGTTTGCACGTATTTGCATTCAAAAGAGATTCCCAAGCAACAGATAAAATAACAAAATATTTACATCGGTAAACAAACATTAAATAGGATTTCTAAGTTGTTTCTTCAGTATTTATTAATTGTAATTTGTTCTACCACTGATTGATCTGATTGTGCATTTCCCTTTCTGTCACAGCAAATGGTCATACTGCCGCAGGCGAAGTGCAAGCAGTACCGGGCAAGGAAGAGCCTTCACCTCACGCCGGGCAGATCAGGGAACTGACCAGACACACAGCACACACGTTTTCTTTCTGCTGCCTCTCAGATGTTGCCTGTACACATTCTTGGTGAGAAGGTCCATCAATAACGTGCTTTAAAAACATTTCTCCCACCCGACTCGAAGGTGAAGCACCCATTTCATCTGAACGACGCACTTGATGTCCAAGAGCAGATCTCCCGCAACATCAATAAAAAAAAGGCAGATCTTCAAGTCCATGTTAAAATACAAAGACAAAAAAGTAAGGAAAGCAGAACATCTGTTTACATATACACACGGGTACAAATACTACTCGACTGTCATGGCTATCACCACTAACACACACAGGAAAAAATAAAGAAGCCTATTTGATTTCTGTTTGCTCATGGGCAATTCTGTATCGGTGTGGTTAATGTCTGACTGAGCACTGTAGTGAGGATGAACAGGCTTGTGGTCATGCTCTCCCAAACTGCTCTTAAAAAAAGAGGACTTTTTTTTTCTTTATCCGTAACTGACCACTGACAGCCCCTGATGCCCCATTGAAACCACCGCTCGAAACGCAGAAACCCCGATAGGTTTAAAAATTTGTTCTTGCCGGGCATTGAAACACAATATTGCACACAGTTTCCAGCTGTACTGCAGCTCAGGGGGCTCCTCTGTCTGCAGACCCTCAGTGTCCTGTCCCGCCCGGGAAAGCTCCCAGCTCCCAGCTCGGAACGAGATCTGGACAAACACGCCTCTCGCTGACCGGTCCTGGGCTTTCAGCTGGCAACAACGCAAACGACAGACCGGTTTTGGCAACAGTCAGGCAGAAAAATAAAAAAATCGGAAGGACAGTAAAATGTAGAAGTACGCGCTGGTCTCTTCGACGACGCCTCTCGGTTTTAGCAGATGTGGCCGACGCCCAGCGGCAGAACTCTACCTCTCCACCTGCGGGCTGGAGGACGAGCCACGCGCAGGCAGGCCCCCGGGCAGCGGTCAGACGGTGGTGGAGTACGACTCGGGAGGGACAGTCAGACTCGGCGGCTCCTCGTCGTCCTCGCTGTCCGTGTCTTCGAGGTCGGCGCGCAGCACGATCCTGGGGACGTCCCGCCGGGGATCGAAGGGCCGAGACGCGCTGGCCGCCGCGCTCCGCCCGACGGGCCCGGCCAGGCCCTCTTCGTCCGAGGAGTGGTAGGACTCGTCGTCCCCCATGTAGTGGTTGACGATATGGATCCCGTCAAAAGTGGGTTGGCCGGACAAGGCCCTCTGGCCTCGTAAGCAGCGGATCTGGGGGGCGAAGAAACGGCAGTCAGGTCAGGGGCCGAGCTGCAGAGCTGTGGCACTCCAGGGCTTCGGCAAGGCAGCACCAGAACCGGCCTTGCCAAGCCCGGCTGCCGCCGGTCCAAAGAGCCTGGTTTCTGACCTCCCCGCGCGGCACTGCATTGGCCCTCTTCCCCACCCTGAACACTTCAGAATCGTCACCGCAGCCAGTAACTGTCGTCCGGACAGAGCGGGGGTCTTAAACTCCCACCCTGGTTTCAGGATGCACCTGGTGTCTTCCTGGTTTGTGTTCTCACTTACATAGTTGGTCTAACTCATTGGAAATAGTTGCTGCGTGACTGTAAGGCTCCTCATCAGGCCCTGAGCTGTTTATAATGATCTGTCTTGTGTAATGGCCCGGAAAAGCACTTACACTATACGTCGAATTCTGAAAAACTGTTAGGCTAATTGTTTAATTGGCTGCTCAGGCTGGAACAAAACCAGAAGACGCCAGCCCTGGCAGGAAGTGGGCAGGAGAGGCCTGGTGTAGCCTGCGAGTCGTCTCGGTGTGAACCCCAGCCTTCACGTCTGGGACAGTGAGGCAGAGGGGGCAGACAGAGACTTCGCCGATACACTCCGAACGACGCGCGAGGACTTAGAAACCATCTTTTCAGAAACCGTGACGGCTGTGTCACGCCGGAAAAAGGAGAACTTTTTTAAATGCAAGCTATGTAAAAGTGCATTTAAACTCAAGAACAAGAGGCACTTCTTTATCCTAAGGGTACCCTGTTGCCGATTTGGAACAAGCTGCCCAGCTGTGTGATGGAAACAGCTGGAGGAGATCCTGGGGTCAATAAGCCCGTAGTTACCTATCGGGCCTGAGGGGTAGAATGACCTCTTCTCACCTGTAACCTTTATGTTCTTAAACAATCAATCATTAAAACTAGAGAGCAGCAACATTACTCAAGAGCATCACTCCCATCATGCAGGGCTCGGCTGGTAACGAACATGTTTAATCAAGGTTAGGTGCCAAAAAAAAAAACATTAAAATGATTATAAAGCAAATGACTGCAAACCCAAAGGAAACCGCGGTTAATTCCTACCACACGACAGACATGTTGTCACCCTAGAAGAAAGCATGCAATGGCCTGGACTAATCATGATATGTCAATCATATAAACAATGCATGTTTACAAGGTTTCTTTTTCATATTGCACACCAATGGTGAAGACCAAATGATGATGACCAAGACCACAGAAATGTGCAAGGAAGCAGTGAGTGTGCCGAGCGCTGGACACTGCAGGAGCTGGGGAGGGGTCGTGCTGCGCCTCTTACCTGACGCTGGCTGTCTCCGCGAGACAGACACGTGGGCATGTGGGAGAGAGGCAGGGAGAAGAGCAGTTAAGATCAGCGGTTCTCAGGCGTTTCCAGCACACAGCGCACTGCCAGGAAATCACACACCGCTGACCGAGCACTACTAATAATCAAGGCCAGGTTAATGCCATACAGAACAAGGAGAAAAGCAGCTTTCTGGTGGCAGATCTGTAGAGAAGACACAACATCCCAATCGTTGTACTGCGCGGGCACAGTGCAACATTTCGGTTGCTCCCCCAGACGAACCTATCCAGCGTTCATTTTTCACTGTCCGTGTCCTGAACTCTGCAGCACACCTGATGAGAGACGTGGTTTGCGGCGGCTTCTCTTAACCACGTTGCCCAGGACCCAGGTCAGGGGGAGGGGCGCTGTGGCCGGGGGGGGTCAGGGGACACTGGCCAGGCCGCCCCCAGGCAGTGTGGCGCTGAACCCCCGAGGTCTCGTGCCCAATATCCGCTGCCTGGGCACGCTGAGCACGCTGGGCACGCTGAGCGCTCTTCATTTCTTCTTGTGTTTTCGACAGGAAAGCTTATGAAAGACCCTTGCGTCATTTTTTTCTTCTCTTTTCCGGCCTGCAAGGCCGGCGGGCAACCGTCTCAATCCAGATCGAAGATCAAAATCGGAGTGCTGGGAACGCGCAGGAAACGGGGAACGGCGCGGCCGTCTGGACATGCCAGCGCTCGAGTCGCCTGGCCAGGTTCGTGGTTTTCGGGAAGGTCCGAGGACTTCAGTGGATGCCAGAAAAAGAGAAGCAAGGTAGCCAGAAAGTTGGCCAAGTGGACACACAGCCCATTCACAGCATTCACAGAGATCGGCCTGCTGAGCTCCCCACAGCAAACCAACAGGCAGCCTGGTGAGAACACTCCCAGACTCCTCGGCCACTGCCCGGCAACTCTTCAGATGCTCATAAATAAATGGGTCATGTGAACGTGAGCAAACAACAACAAGATAGATTTATTCGAATGCAAAAGGCACATAAATCAAGGCTCCCAAGTGTCACAAAAGTAAAAGTAAAAGTAATAGTGAGGCCGGTGGGGAGGGAAAAAAAGTGAAAAATAACTTCTACGCATACAACAAGGGTGCGATGTCTTGATGGAGCTCATCTCCCAAGTGCTGCCTGGATGCTCAGGAGAGGTGATCTCCCAGGCCAGCGCGATCGTTCCTCGGGGAGAGACTCGCCACGGCCGCAGCCCGTTAATAAGAACACTTGGCCTAAGAGCCAAGGAGAAGGAATGAGGACATCAGAAGAGTTTCCCCGGCCTCCACCACAGATGTGGAAGCTGGTCCTGCCCAACTCCAGCACGGGGGAAGACTCTTCTGGTCTCTCTCCAGAAGAGACCAGTGCAGGAGCGATACTGACGACAGGCCACCCACCCATACCATTGTCCTCTGCAGCCCTTTACACGTTTCGACATTTCAACCTGATGGTTCATCGCTCAGACCTTCCCCGCGGCTGCAGCAGGAAGGGGCCACAGAGAGCTGCCGGCCAGCAGTGGAGGCCTTGCTCCTGCTGGTAACAGACCTTCCAGGAGATCTGGAGCAGCTCAGCAGCAGCTCCTTCTCCGGTCGGACTCGTGCAGACGCCCTGACGGACACTAGAAGCAGGAGCCGCATTCCTCTCAACGACACGCCACTTCCTAATTACATGCACATCAGAGATACAGACTCGACAGCTTTCGACAAGGAAGAACTTGACGTGCGCTCAGCTGGATTATTTTTTACATGTAAATCGAAACCCATTTCCTTGAAATCTCCCACTCGTCTACATCACAGAAGTAGTCCCCACTATCAGCCATCAAGGGCACTCTATGCAATCCTCTGCTTGTGAACAGTGCTGGAAACTGTTCGACACTTGCCTTCCTCACTGAGCACACAGAAATTACTGAACCCTACTGGCTATTGCAATTGCTCCCAGAGTAGCCAGTAGCTGTTGCTCACAGCTCCTGCTCAAAAGCTGGCAGATCCCAGCTCTGCAGCCGACAGTTAATAAAGACGCCTGTCCTCAAGAGTCGAAGGGTCTCTATTGTAAACGTGACAACTGGTGAAAAATGCAAACTCCAGTGAGTCAGAACAGGAAACCAACAACAAAACAGACAAGAAGCGATTACTAGCAGGTCATGACTCCTTGATCTTGTCAGATTAGCGAGGTCTGGTTTTGCTCTGAGCTCTGTGGCTGATTGTAACTTTCTACCTCTTTAGAGAATACGTGATTGAAATAGCAGCAAACGAGGTGCAGTGATAACCGTTTGCATTCTGCAACTTTGAACTATGGAAAGCTGGGCTGAGTGGTGGTATTTCTGAAATAAACACACAGGGTGGTTGTCAAGCACTTTCAAATTTTCACTATTTCTGTTTTTCTCAACAGGGTATTTTTTTGCTTGTGTAAGAAGCATTCTGTTGACTCTATAGGAAGTCTGTGACTGTCCGACTTTAAAAAAAAAGCACCTATCATTATATTTAGAGGCTTTAATCTGAGCGCAAAGAACCTAATATGATCTCATCAGTATGACCACATACATGTGAACTGAAGACACGCAGCACAATCCTGTCCTGTTTGGTGATGACTCTGGTCTTTAACAGTGCTGAGCCACTCACTGTTCCTTCTCCCACTTTCTTTATCTCTTTGCCCCAGGAACCTTGTTCTTATGCCTTTTCGTCTCGCACCTTTAAAAATGTACCGATTGTACTTTTAAAAAAATAAATAATTGAAAGCACTTTAAACAAGTAGAAAAATACAAATATGTACTACGAAGCTGAAGGACAAGACCTCCCACGCCCAGGTCAGTGAAGTCCAGATGATCAGGGTCGATGATGTGCACTGCAGGAACATAAAGGCGTTTGGACATGTGGACATTGAGGGGCTGAGCAGGCTGCCACGTGTCTCTGTCCCGATGTGCAGGCCTGGGGCAGGGGACGACAGCTGCACGCGCTGTGCCAAGAAACCACACTGTTCATAGCCAGGAGCCTGTAAGACGGGGGCCCTGACAGGACCACGGCGGTGCCGTCTTGCACACGAGAGCTCTGCTATCTGCACCGCAGCCCTGCAGCACACGAAGGCTGAGAAGGAGTGGTTTGCAGGGAGGGGTACACGTTGGGCACAGACACATCCTGGGCTGGGGGGAACTACACCAGGGAGCGAGATGGAAATATCGCAGGACAACCAAGGTCTGGGGTTTTAAACATGTTTTTGTTGTTTTAAAAAAAGGGGGAATTGCCTACCTGTTCTGCTTTGATTATAAAAAAACAAATGGAAAAGGCAAACAGAAACTAAACCCAAGACGCTGCTGCCATGTACATAGACACAGTGCGTCTGTCAACAGGTTACAGTGATTTCTGTCATCGCTGGGGTCTTCTTTTTTAAACCTGCACTTGATTGCTCTCCCCCTGTATGATTTCAAGAATGTAGAAACATCTATAATTCTACCCCCCCCCCCCCCCCCCCCGACAAAAAGAGATACATGAGCTGCTAAACTGAAGCACGGTGTCTATAAACCACATGACCTCTCTGCTAGTGCTATCTTATCACATCACAGGTTCCTCACATCGACCACAACCACTTAAATCAGACTGAGCCAGCGAGGTGACTTGGGATCTTTGTCACGTACTGACAATCAGATAGTGCTTTCAGAAGCCCAAGTCAACCTCGGTTTGCAGGGGACTGCAAATCTGATCGTCTCTGCTCTGCCCAACTGCACTTTCAAGATAGGGTGCAAGTGGAAACACAATGCATGATTTACTGCAGTACAATTTAACCACAAGCCGCTGTTTTTCATGTTAAAATCTGACGGCATCCCTCTCCATAAATCTTGGACCTGGGAAAAGAAAAAAAAAAGTTTTTCGTCTTACATGCACTTACTTTTTTCGCTTTCGTTTGAAAAGCTAAGATTTGTTTCCCCCCTGAATACGCACCCGTTACTGCGTAAACAATCAGAACTAGCAGCATGGTCTGGGCTGGCTTAATTCTATCGAGCAACAGTGTTTTTGCAAGACCTTCCCATTGCAGAACAAATAGGTGAAACGGAGTGCGTCCGAGTAAACAGACCAATGGCCACTTCTACAATCTCGGTGGGAACAAGGTGACAACAACAGTCTACTCAGCTAAAGAGACGGAGATCTCTCAGGGCCGCAGAGCTGGACTCTAATGCACGCTGGCAGAGGTTTGGCCATTCCCGTCCTGTAAGTCATCTCACTGTGATGGACTGAGGTCACTGGTGTTGTTATCTTTCAGCAACCATGAATCCTAATTTCACAAACATTAAAAAAGGGTGGAGGGACACTGATACGCTTTATTTCAAAACACGGGCTTGCACAACAGCGCAATTCCGAAACGAGGAGAAACTCAGTCCCCAGAATGCATGCAAGAGGGGACGCATCTGATAAGGCACCAGTGCGATGCATCGCTGAATTTCAAGGAGTGAGCTGAGCACAAAGACGAAAAGAATGGCTCTTCAAGACATTCGAAATATGAAGAACTTTGGACTCTTCAGCAGCATCTGATTCCTCAACTTAATAACGGATCTCGGCCACGCCGAAATGTATTCACCAATAAATCGATCGAATTAGACAACACTAAAACAAAGGCTGGTTCAGAATTTCACTTCTCCAGTTTGCGACGCAACCTGCCCCCTGCCTGCTTGTTCTGCCCAAGCCAATTCCCCCGTGAGCCGTTTAGACCCGAGACAATTCCTGTTGACCTGTGGGAAGGATGTTGCAGCCTTTCTGGTCTCTCAGTGGGCCTTCTGCACAAAGGAAAAACAACCAGCGCTTATCTCGACAGTTTTAGACAGCAACGCTTGCAAAACCACAAGTTTTTCTTTCTTTTTTTTTTAAATTCAATACACGGTGAGATTTCTTTTTTGCAATAACAGAACCAACATCAGCGAATTATGTGCATGGTGTGACAAAGAAATCTCAATGCCACAAAGACTGCTGTTGTGCTGTGCAAACTTTGTACTTGAAGAGGAAGTCTTTGTCCTCTCTAGGATGGTCCAACGAAAGAAAGTGGGAGTTATTTAGGCCCCACAGCGGACTATTCCAGACCTTAAAGAAATGAACCACCTGTCACACAGCTGATACTTTTTGCAACTCAATTAGACCCACATTTTGGCACTGGGGATCAATGCATATCCCTGCTGCAAGCAAGCTGAACTGACCGATGTTTTTGGTAAATTAATTATTTTCGTTTTAGAGCCACTGGTTACTGAAAATAATGTGCATTTCCCCCCCGCAACACAAAATTCCAACAAAAGCATAATATTTCACAATTTTATAAAAAACAAAAGTTTTCTGGAATCGCAATACGGGCTCTGTAGCTCACTAATTTGCTAAAACACCCTGCTTCCACAATAATAATGTGTAAGGTCTATGAATATCATTTTAAAAGCTAGAATTTGGTTTTAATTTTGGGGAAAAAAAAATCAGTAAAATATTTTACAGAGCGCATTCTGGTAGCTAGGTTTGCTTTATTTGTAATATGAATCTGCATCACTTCCTTTTGGTTTGCTTCACTGCGGGGCTGAGCAGTTAGAGAAGGCTGTAATGTAGCTGCTTACACTCATAATAAAACCTTGAGGACTGAAAGGTCAAAAGGTTGCCTGAAACCTCATGCAAGTCATAAACCTCAAATGATTAAAAAATTTAAACATGGAGTCTGATTTACGCTTTCAGACTGACTTGCAAAGATTGTCCTCCCCCCCCCCCGTAGTGGAGTGTAGGGGAGTGTACCAGAGACAGGGAGAGAACAGCATGTGGACGGAGCTCTGTGCTGCTCCCTCATCGATTGCTCAAGCTCTGCTAACCAGTCTTGGTTACAGCCCCCAGGCCCATCTTCAGGAAGCCACGAGTGGCTGGAGAAGTACAATCGCACATCAGCCGGCTGATAATGGCAGAAGCACCGAGGGGAAGAAGGAGCTGTGGTGGTGACCCCCTGACGAAACACATGGACGGCTCAGAGCAGGGTGCCAGGAGGGTCTCTGACTTGTCCCTCGCAGAACCCAGAGAGCCAACTGCAGCCTGACACCATCAATAACCTGCCCAGCTCAGGCTTCTTGTCGTTTCTGTCCTCAGCTTGAGACCCCAAACTCAGTCATAAAGCTCAGCCTTGAGGCCTCACAGCACCGCTCAGCTGAACCATGATCTGCAGGCTGAACATTGCTGAAGAGCACGGCGCAACCTTGTGCTGAATTTGTTTGCTTCTTACTGTGAACACGTGATTCTTCTCCTCTGTCATTTGCACCGATCTCCTATGATTTGGCGAGATTGGCCAAGTTGTTTTCTGGCACATTATATCTCGTTTAACTGGGGCGCTTGCTCGACTTTAGATGCAAGACGAGGCAAGTTGCTCATGCGTGGGCCCCTCTCTGTTCACATAATCAAGATGTTCTCCAACCACGAACATTATTACCGTAGTAAATGTGCACGAGCACACTTGTAAACGCTTGTGTCTCCCCAGATCATTTCAGGTTTTTTAAACTCTAAAGAAAATGCCTTCACAGCAAACCCGGGCCGTTTCCACGAATCAGGAGAATTAAAAACATCTCGCTGAAACAGGCGAGAATCTAACACGCGCTGCAGTGTAAAAAAGTTGTTTACAGTGTCAGAATACTTGAAGCCCCACCCAGAGCGGGAGCTCGGTTAGGTGAAGTGTTTGTGCCTGTGCTGCTTGGCGGCCTTCAGCTGAACTTAGAAACTTCCCTGTTCCCCGCTCGCCCGCTCCTGGGAGTTTCCCTGTGAGGAAAGCGTCCGGCGAAGGAACCATCACTGTTAGGACAGACGTCTAAAACTCAAGCGGTTCTCTGCACACCCCGGCCAGCTACACTACACCCTTCACTTCAGGTTTCCATCACCAACATGCTGGAAAACCCTGTTGTTCGACTCTGCATCCAGTCTCCTGGGGCTGGAGTTTGACACTGATACTCATTCCGGACAGATTCCAAGAAGAAATGTGGACACAGTTACCAAAACAATGAGTCTGACAGTGATGTGTGAATAAGCTTATTTTCGCCCCCGAGAGGCAAGAAAGACGAGATGTTTGTTATCCGTCTCACCTGACAGAGTTAAAAAGCCACTGGTAGTAGTGATTTGTTGAAGTAAATAAAATACACAGGGTGTAAAGATTGTTCTCTCAAAGACTGAAGATATAGGGGTGTGCTGGCACATTCCACACCCATTCAGTCAGGAAACGTACCACTGCAGGGCGTAGTTAACACTTCGATTAAGACTGCAGGTGGCCTCAAAATATACAGACAAAAACATTTGAAGAAATGTGAAAAAAGAAAACAAAAAAATACATCTGAAAAAAAGTGAGAGCCCATCACTGCCGTCTGAAGAGCCAAAAAGATCAAAATCTCATTAAGAAGCCGCCGCCGAGCAGGACGTTTCTGTGAAAATGCAGGTTTGCTCAGAACTGAAAGTGACTCTAAATTAATTTCTTGCAACATACAGTATTTAGATTACAGACATGATATTATCTGCACATTTGTGTATACATCCTTCTAAACTGAGGGCCACTGTCAGTCAGGCATGCAAAAATACTGCCATTAGGGTTCTTATTAGAAAGGCACACCTACAGGATACATGCTAGAATGATGTCAGACCACATGCCTTGACAGCATCACCTTGACCTGCTCAGATCCCAGAAGCTCAGCAAGGCCGGGCCTGGTCAGAACTGGGAACTGGGGAGGGAGACCTCTAGGGACAATGAGGCGGTTTCTGTAAGTGCTGCTGGTGGACCTCCCCTCTGGACCAGGGATTCCAGTATGCCGACTGGTGATGAAAGTAAAAGCCTTGGCTGTGTCAGGGCAGGGGCTCGGAGAGAGCGGCCCTCCTGCAGATCCCCATGAGTCAGCGGGCTGAGCAGCCCCTCTCTGCCGTCTCGGCACGGCAGCAGTGGCTGAGCAGTGGACTCCCCTGGGGAGGAGTGAAAGACGGCCGCCCTGTGGCTGGAGGAAGAGCGCTGCGCCCCGGTCTCACCTCGTGCTCCAGCTCCGCGATCTGGTCCTTCAGCTCCCGGACGTACTGGCTGGAGTCGGAGCTGTTCAGCTGGCCCTGCACCTTCCCTTCTTCCTTCTGCGCAGCAACGGAAAGGAAAAGGAGGCGTGTCAAGTCGGCAAAGACCGGCTTCCCCGGCGCACAGCCACAGCACGGCGGGGCACCGGACCGCAACGCTGCGCGGACAGCAGGATGCCCTCCTCACACACACACACGCGTGCAGACACACGGGTTTTTAAACTCACCCACTTCTATCGACTTCGCCTCCGTTTTAACTTTAAACGCCATAAATGAACCAAGTGGAACGTTGACCGCTATGACTTCATTCATCTGCACGGACACCTTGGAAGGAACCGGCCTCCGCTGTTGTTAGCCACAGCTTGCGTTCCTACAGCGCTAGTGTGGCGACCTCTGCCACGGGCACCCAACCGGCCAGCGAGAGGCAGGCGCCCCCCAGGACAGACACTGGGAGCCGCCGAACAACAGAGATGTGTCTGTTTCCATCTGGACCGCACAGACGGCCTACAGGAGCCAACGGGGATCTGTCGCCATCGGCCCAGGGTTCATCCGCATCGCACGAACGGAGCGAGAAGGGTCAGGCCAGCAGGTGCACTGTGGGCGATTCACTCATTCTGCGACAAGGATTTCAGCTGGTGAATGCTTCAGATTGCGAAAACAGGTTTATTTGTCCCCCGCTAAGCCTCTCTGGAATTCAACTGGGCGCCCCCTCGCCGCCCCAACCACAGACCGTAACCGAGGCGGGCACACGTGCTGTTTACCCCGCGGGCACAGCTGGGTGGGTCTCGCCCGAGAGCAGACTCAAGACCGCCGGCCCGCGGCAGAGGAGGGTCGAACCCATTTATCTTTTTTCTTCCAAAATTAAAAAAAATAAAAAGGAGCCTTCTGCGCTCTTGTCGAGGCGGCCGATGCGAGGAGTTAAAGAAGGGAGAGATGGTTGGGGCCGGGTGGGGCGACAAGAGACGGATACAAATCTGCTCTGGATCCTTCTGACTTCTACAGACTTGAAAACGGGTAGTTTGTGACATGTGAAATCAATCTCCTCTGGTTAACACTCTGCTCGGGGCTGGGTCCGGATAGGTTACCGAGAAAGGGGATCTCGTGTAATCTTCCAAGAATCATTGTTTTTCTTGAGGTTTTCCCTAGAGTGTCTGATAACAAACAGGCAGTTAACAGGCTTCCTATGCTCAGCTGTACGAGTCAACAGGTGCGAGGCATGTCAAACATCTGAAATTAATGGCTTCCTCGTCTGTTCCAGAGCCCCAGCTCAGTTATTTCCCCTGACTCAACAATGCTGAATCCACAGAGAGCTTTCAAGACGCACGCAGAACAGAAACAAGCGCAAACAGGAATGCGGCTCATCCTCTCTCGCCCGCCAGAAGCCGAGACGCGCGGGCAGCAAGGAGTCAGAAGATGCCGAGC